AAGTAAGATTTCTGGTATGGGTTAGCAAGAGAACACCACTGCCCCCACCCTTCCCCGATAAATAGACAAATGGGCTGCTAATCCTGTCACAGCTTTTATTGATAAGCATTCAKCTTTATCGTACAGTATTTACGGAATTATCGATATTTAGTTCCCAAATTGCAATATGAATATGTGTTAGTGTATCACTAGTAACAAAATTGTCAACCATGATCTGCTAAAACTATAGTTTAATGAAGTAAAAACATCTGTTAGAGYAATTTTGRTAAACCCGYCCCGAACGCATGTGTAATAWCGGTTATTAGCAAGACATTAAGTATTCCGTTAACGTTTATTGATTGTGTTTTATTACTTTGTTGTAAAAAGTCTAATGATATCCATGATAGTGTCATTGTCTTCATATAAATCATTCAATCACAATTAGGGCATAGATACATTATTTAACAATTTTTCGCTGAAGGCGAAGTGATTATCGGGGAATAATTTACCGAGACGCGAGTCTTCGAGCGGCTCTCCGATATTCACTGAGCTGAGGCAAATAATTGTTTTAGTATAAATACAAAGGTGATTCTTTCAAAAAAAAAAGAAGAAAAAAAGAAGATAAAAGGCATTTTTTTTCCGGTAACAGCAACAAAAACATTTTGGATTTTCGCTCGAGGTGATTATCGTGTGATAGTGTGAGTTTCTTGACCAATCAGCGCGCGAGACATTCTATAATCACCTGCGTATTTTTACTAAAGGGCAATATACTCGATGGTATAATGCAACTGCGAAATTTTTTGTTTCTCTATTCAAAATTGATCAATAAGGAGAACAAAGTTTCGTCCCACGATGCAGCTGAAGGCCAAAACCGGTGTCAAGGAAAGGAATTGRGGTTTTGGAAAGTACAGATAAATTAAACACTGAAGAATTGACAATAATGACTGTTTTTGTTTGCAGCAACTTCTATTAATTCAGCAACTTTTTTTTTTGTTTGCAGCAATAATTTCTTTACAGCAGCTTTTATTTGTTTGCAGTTGTCCCCTATGGGCCACCGCGTAGATTTGTGAATAAATCCGTTCAGTTTCAGTATCACTCATTCAACTAGAAAGGTTCCCAAGAACAGACAACAAGATGAAAAARCTTGGAAAGATAGTTTTGACCGCAATAATAGAGACAAAAAGCTATACAATTAGAAAAAGTTTAAGCTCATGCGYTAAGACTTCGAGTCGAGCGCAAAGATTAATAAAAACATTGCCGCTAGTTCACCGTCGTTTTGTTCAGTAAAGTTTTCAGGGTCATTCTTTGTTTTAAAAACTCGTATAATATTAGCAAGTAGTTTATGCTAAAACAATTAAAACTGTACTACTCGTTCTCTTTTTCTATTTGATCGTTAGATGTGTCATAATAGGTATTCATCTTTAAAGTGCTACTATGACGAAAATCGCTCAAACTTGGATTCAGCTGAAACTTCCTAAGAATACTCTTTAAAGGTCCAATAATCACTGTATGAAGTGTTTTCTTGACATTCAGGACAAAAGTATGATATTTTTACGATTATTTTTTGGAGTCTGTGAYGTCATACACTCAACATCGAAYATCGCTCCATACATTTCTTTGTAGTTTATGATCAAAATATCAGTAGTAGAGGGAGAAAGAAATACCCAAACACCCCAAAATATAAATTATAGTCACAAGTAATGTGAAATAAGCACATTAGCCACCCTTTGGGCTTCATAGGAATAAAATAAATTAAGGATTTATATACAAATAAATATATGTAGCAATGTTTGATGTTGAGTGTATGACGTCACAGACTYCAAAAAATAATCGTAAAAATAGCATACTTTCGTCCTGAATATCAAGAAAACACTTCATACAGTGATTATTGGAYCTTTAAAGAGTATTCTTAGGAAGTTTCAGCTGAATCCAAGTTTGAGCGATTTTCGTCATAGTAGCACTTTAAATCCAAACAACTAATATCTCAATYGTGTTCTTTATGRCTCTTACTTGCCACCTGTGTTTAAAGTCTACATAGAAATGGCAGAAAGATGTCAGACTAAAGGGCAGGGAGACAGAGAGACGCAAAATGGAGAAACGTACTGTCCTTCGCGTGAAGTTACTCAACAGGGTGAAGGTTTTGTTGCATATTTGTTGCATAACAAGCTTGAAATGCATTGTGGATCAAATGTTCAATATCAACACAGAAAAAAATATGCCGGGAAAACGTGCAAAGTTTAGGAAAATTCCATATTGTTGTTACCTTTCCCCGTTACCTTCACTGATATCGCCTATATAGGCCTAGCCCTACTCTGGAATCTAAACTCGCAGCGAGTCAAGGAGAGGCTGCGCGATCGAGTTAAGGGAAACTCCTAAGGACATCTTCCTAACTTTTCTCCTCTAGAAAAGCAATGAAAACTGAGCTGAGCCATGATAAAAATTACATATCCCGTTAAAGTTTAAATGGTTTTCAGCAAAACTCGCACAATATCAGTTACTCATAATTAACTTCTGTATTTCTAGAWTTTTTTAACTCGTATAATCATTCTTTTCGATTTACCCAAACTGGATCGAATTTTCAATGCTCATTAATTTTTATTCGCTCTTTCTTATGAGTTCTGATTGTGAATTTATAAATTAAATCAAATTTGAGAAACTCAGTTCCAGTCCCCTGCTCGTTTATTTGTTACCGACAAACTGAATTTGTTGTGAAGTCATACAACACTTTTGAAGGTTGTTCAATCACAGCGCATTTTTTCTATTTCTTTGAAAACATGGCTTGGGTCCTATGGATATGAGTTCTTTGGGCGTTTCAACAACGAAATCTTTGTTATTCTCTATTTCGAAATTAATRATAATTATWATAATGATTCTAATCAATTACACTGTGCGATATCCATGACAATGATCTATCGCGCATTACATTTGCTGCGACACTWAATATAAAATTATGTGATTATAGTGGTTAAAAATAATTACAGCATATAGTCTATAAAATATCAACTAAAAATATCCTAGATTGATAATAATAAAAATTATACAGCTTCTCATTAATCCCATATAGGTAACTGTCCAATTATTTTCTTAATTGGACAGGTCTTGTTGATATGGGATTAATTAGGCAGCTATATAATTAGGATTTCATGCTCCCCAATCAAGAAATAATTAGACTCGAAAAGTTCCTCTGACTGCCAACTTGGACTCGGCCTACGGCCTCATCCAATTTTGTCAGTCCTCGGAATTTTCCTCGTCCAATTATTTCTTAATTGGACAGCATGGAGTCCTAATCTATTACATATACTAATGGTACTGTTAGAGCGGTTTTTAATAACCCGTGAAACAAAGTGTATTAATTAGAGTGTAATACTCAGATAAACACAATAGAAAAAAAAAAGAATTAGAGTAAAGTAGTGCTAAATATCCTTAAGAGTATTTCACGGGCTTATGAAAACCATTCCAAAAACTAATAAGAGAATGACTAACAACAAGCCAACCTGAAAAGATACGTCTTTAAAGGGGACTAGTACAAAAATTGTCCGAATTGTAATTCAGTTGAAATTTTACTGGAATAATTATTAATCGTCTAGGAATCACTATTCCCCCTTTAATTGACGTTTCAATATTATAGTGATTGTTTTGATGTGAAGCAACTCTCCAGAAAGAGAGATTCATAATTTAGGCATACTGATACTTGGGGCGAGAGCCCATGGATAGCTCTAAATGCAAATAAAAATACGATCGGCAGCCAGCGCTGGCTACGCAAAACAGGAGTAATGTTCCAAAATCTAGGAGATGCACTTATTACACGCTGTAACGTATTAAGCTTGCAGTCTGGCAAACCATAGAGCAACCTGTTGTAATAGTCAGCACAACCGGTGATAAAAGCGTGTATTAGAATTTGAGTCGCTTCAGCTGACAAGCTTGTACTTTGCGCGGAATGCTGTGTACTTTGCTGTGCTGTAAAAAAATTAATTAACTTTGTTTATAGAGGATAACGCTTGACAGTAATTCAACTGGTAAATTCGTGGTCCTCTTTTAACGTCTCTAGTTGATTAGGGACGGGACCGCCATTAACGTGGTCATCCGAGCCACGTGAAAGTCTAACCATTTGCAGATGTAATTATCAAATGCAGCACCTTCTCCTCAGTTATTTTAAGACCCCGACGCGCCGTTTACATGGAAAAAACTTGTTTCTGGTAGGAACACCCTCCTACTCTCGAGCCAACTATACCGAGCGTTCATATGGAAAGAAGTTGTCMCTATAAACCCGCGACAAATATCGATTTCAATACGCATGCTCAAATGAAAAAGTTGTCTCGGTTAGGCGAATTAAAGTGTTGTCCCGGGTACCACGATCACCCTATTTCGCAAATAGGGTAACCCTACCAGTAGGGTGACCCTTCTAGCCGAGGCAAAGTAAAATATCTCATGTACTAACTAACGTGCTTTGACTTTACTAACATGCGTAGACCAGCTAGACAGGGCCTACGGTTTAAAGTCTTTATCCGAAAAGACTTGAAGGTCTAACCATTTGCAGATGTAATTACAATTCAGGCAGCACCTTCTCGTCAGTTATTTTAAGACCCTGAGTGTTGGTCCGGCCGAGGCTTGAACCACAACTTCTCGAACAACAGACCGACGCTCTTACCAACTGAGCTAGCCGGGCAGCGGTTCACCAACAACAAGTACTAACTAACGTGCTTTGATAACGTGCATASACCAGCTACATAAGTTTCTTACGACAGACACTGGGAAGACATGGCTACTGAAATACTATCTATATCTAAACTAACTGTTGTCTGGTACCGATTAAGAAGAACTGGTACTTAATTCTAGCTAAGCAAAAGCTCATCAGATATCTAGTTCCTCATATCTGCTATACAGTCACTTATAGCRTGCGCAGCGAATTCAGTGTCTACAGATGACTTAGGACAGAATGACAGTTATAACTTGGTGTCATCTGTGCACCAATGAACTTGTTTTGGAACCACTTAGTTTACGTGTGTAAAAGGTAAAGAGTAGAGGGCAAAGCCCAYGGCTCCTATGGCACTCTATATACTTTATGCCAAAAATTGCGAGATTCCGACATTAATAAAGACACGCTGATAGAGAGCGATCAGAAAATTAGGACTTACACGAAGCAAGCGCATTCTCTTCGATGCCAATGTCGGACTTTGAAGGGCYAATTAAATTTACAAACGTAGACAGYRTCAAGTCAATGGACTACTTCAACGATACCGCGGCTATCTTGGATCTCAAGGCTTTATCGGGCGTTCGAGTGCAAATAAAGCTCGCTATTAACAGCTCACCTTAAGATAWTCCAATTAAAGATGAATTAAGACGACACATCGATCACCTTTACCCACTGGCATAAAATGAAGACAAACACACGAAACTTTATATCTTTTCCGTCATCTTTGTTTTGTTTTGCCCCTTGCAAGATGGCCGCCGTATCGTCGATGTATTCTATTGCAGCAGAACAAGCAGTCACATKGTGTTTGTTCATATTCAGTAAGATGCTAAATTCCCCATAATGCATTGCGATTTGGGGCGTAACCAGAGGGRAAAACCCACAAAATGCTGAAGACGTTATTGTTGTTGTTATTGAAGACGTTGTTGAAACAAAAATAAACAAACAAACAAACAAAACAAAACAAAGATTAAATAAGTGTAATGTAAATCATTAGCACTTCTTTGTGAGTCTATACATGTTCTTGCTGTTCAGAACGTGGAGAATTGGTAAACAGTATCTTACTGATAAAAGCAGATATAAGAAACACATCTGATTGAAGAAGGTTTCATTTTAAACAGTTTTTTTAACGGTTACCCTCCAAAAAGCAAAGCAATATGGGGAATGGGGGAAAAGGTGAATTCCGAAACGTGTCTTCTTGTTCTACAAAAGTTGCATTCCTGTTTCTACGGGCGTTTCTGTAACTGTATCTATTAGAAGTATAAGGTATAAAACGGTGCTTACAAAAACTCATCAGCCAATGCAGCAGCATCATATCTGACAAGAATGTTATATAACTCGCCAAGTAATAATCTTCTTTTTTGGCAGAATTTGGCAAGTATTTTCTCTGCAGGATTTTCCATTCTTCTATAGTAGGCAATCTGATATGATGATTCAACTAATAACTCTGTAACCAATGTCTCTATTAGCTTGTCGTTTCCTTGAAAGAGGAAACAGAAAAAGATAAAAATTATCGATAGATTTGACTGCAAGATGCTTTTATTTTAGAAAATCGTGGGGGGAAATGTCAAGTTTGACGAAAAAATTAAAGGTTAATGTTATTTAAATGTATTCTTACCGCCTGTCACGAATGACTGAGCATTTATGCTGGATATAGCATATTTAGGAGCTTGATACACAAGTTATTCAAGCAACAATTGACGATTCTTAAAACTCCAGYGTGTGCGAGCTTAACCTAACTTCTGAGGTCGGTAAACAAAAGCAGAAATTAGAATAACGAAACAAGCAACTCCTGGATTCAAGGCTAAGCCCGCATACACTGGAGTTTTTAGAGTGGTCAATAGAGCAAGAAACTTAAACGTTCACACMCAACTCTCCCCGTCAATGCAAGGGTTCTTGAGATTCATTCCAGGCATATTATCATCCTATTCAATATTTACAAACCACAACACTTAATTCGCATGTTGATTTTATTGAGAGAAAAGCCGGAGAAAAACTCTTGTGGCAAGGAGAAAACAACACATCACAATTCTGTGGAAAATCGAACCTAYCACCCCAGACATGAACTACACAGCGCTGTAGCAGCGTATACCACCCAWAAAACCGTCTATAGGCTAAATAAGACTGATTTACTTTTTACTCTTAACATTTTTTCCCAACTTGAAAAATAGACTGATTAAAAGTTTATGCTTACCTGACATAGCTTCRGTCAACTTCTGTCKGTCCTTTACAGGCAGTTCTTGAAACYTTGTTTGCTCTGGTCGAAGTGGCCCTACATATTTTAAATAACTTGTCATTASACACTTCTTGGACATAACATGGATCTTCAGAAGTCGGGATCTTGTGGAGGAGGGTGAAGAAGGGTAGGGGAGGAGAAGGGTAATGAAGGAGTCTTTAAGAGAAAAATTCTGCCTCTTACCCCCTTCATCTTTCCTTAAACCCTCTCGGAGGATTATCTCTCGTCTATAACAACAACTTACACTTCGGTTGAAAGAACCATCATAATCACATTAAGATGGAGCTGGAATGGAACATTAATTTAAAGGACGCTGATTTCAGGCTACGTCCATACTAATACTTTTCGATGCGTTCTGCCCTTGCGACACTAAACGATCGACAAATGACTAAATGTGAAAACGCTCTCCAGAGTGAAGACATTTGAAATCGGAGGCCCATCCTAAAAGTGTGGACAGGCGAAATCGCAGGCTTTTAAAAACGCTTACGTCATTCACACTAGCACGTCTCTTTTTCGCAAGAGCAAATGACGATATTGAATCATTTCCGTTTGTATCTGCGTTTTTAAYCGTTTTAGTGTGAAGAGGCGAAAACGCTAGGAAAACGCTTTCGTGGATGCGAAGCTTTCGAAGCGTTTTCGGTGAGAAAAAAACGGAGTTTYTGGAAAACCAATTAGTATGGACGTGGCCTCAGGTGCTATTTTCCCCAGCGTGAAAAGTGGGTAAGGACTACGAAAATTTAACCAACCTGTCATTCCATTTGGTAATGTAATTTTCAATTCTTTAACGATGTCGAGTCTTCCTTCTTCTTTCAAAGCAACACACAAATTTTGACAATTCTTCATAATTATCGGAGATGGAGTTTCGACCGATGTACTGTCTAGGTGTAGAGATTTGGCAACCGCTTTAGCAAATAATTTGCAATCAACAGTTTTTATATCTTGTCCATTAATCTCAGCAACGACTCCCTTAATTACGTCATCTATAAATTAGGAAAACATGACAAACAATTAAATAAATGGAGGGATAGATGGATGGATGGAGGGAGGGAGGGAGGGAGGGAGGGAAAAATGAAAGATAACTACAGATAATTGGAGGGCTTTCATTTAATAGGACAAAACTTCATTATCATGAAAGCTGGTTAAAAATCATAAGCAATCAACGGGCAATCCTTTTGCAGTTGGAACACAAGTAAGACATTGGACCCTAATGAACTCTTCATATCTGTAAGAAGTATCCAAAATAAGAGGTTACATACTAATTCTAACCCTTTTAAATCAAAAYATTTTTTAAACGGCGATACGTGTTACTTAAACCTAAAGACCCTTCAAATGCTGCAGTTTATCGGAGGAAAAGGAGATAAAAAGACTATTGTATTCATGTTTATTCATCGAAGACTAACGTAACAATCAATAAAATATGGATAGACAGATCCAAGTGAGTAATTAATGATTTCTTTGGTCTACTAACAAGCATTTTCCCCGTCACAAACCAAATATTCTCCTACATTACGAGGATATTATCCATGGTATTACGAGGATATTATCCATGGTATTACGAGGATATTATCCATGGTATTACGAGGATATTATCTTGACTTCGAATTAAAAAAAATATTATTTAATTTTTCCGATTTATTTTCACCATTCACTTTAATCTAAATTGGGCTCCCTGTGTCACTACCACTACATTCATTATTTACAACACTCAACTCACAGGAAAAACCGCAGAAAAACCCTCATGGTGGATAGAACAATACATCAAAGAAAACTCAACTCACATGTGGCTCAGCGAGCACTCGAACCCGCTATCCTCGGTCTGAAATACACAGCGGTGAGACACTGCACTGTAGCAGCGCATGCCACAAAACACACAACGCCACAACATAATATAACAATATTTTTCAATGTTCTAATTTTATATGAGCTAATGTGCATACCAGGACGACTATCKTCTGTTTGATCGCCGACATCATCATATTCAGAAGTTTGAACTGCAAGCACAAAACAAAAAGGACAAAAATAGAAATATTTTTTTGTATTCCGTACTTTTTGATCAGCCCAGAGGCTGTTTCGGGATATCAATTCAATTTGAACGTTTTTCATTTGAGAAAATATGATCTCCGATACAGAAAAAGTACATCAAATACAATGCACCACAACATAACACAACACACCACGCTAAAACGCAACGGAACACACCACCAGAAAATATAAAACATCACATCCATCATAATGTAACGCATCACGTCATATCACAACAAAACAAAACCTAACAAACAAATCACACTAAAACGTATCGGAACACAACACCAGACCAGAGACACAAGACAATATAACAATTAAATCGCATTACAACAAAATATAATACATCAAAACATAACAAACCACAACAGACACAACACTACCAAAACACAACCGAACACAACACAAGACGATATAACACATCACAACCAACACAAAAACAAAACAAAACAAAACATCACAACCAACACACAATACAACACAACAGAGAAGACAACAGAGAAAACAATATAACATGGCAATATCATTTAGTGTTTCTTTATGAGCTTAGCATACCAGAACAATGACTATCGTCTGTTCGATCACCAACATCATCAAATGCAGCACTTTGATCTGCAAGCACAAAAGAAAAAAATATACATATAACAAATTTTAGTATCCCGGCCTTAACTTTCGTTTGAGAAGAATATGATCTTCAACACAGAAAACTGCTGCATGGCAAACTCGTGGATATCCTCCTCTGAATCCTACTTGCACTCTTGAGATATTGGGTTCCCTGACAAGAGTATGAAGTACGAAAGTAAGTTTAGCGTAACGTTCGTAAACAGATGACGTAAGACGATAGATAAACGTTTAATTATCGAGCTGCTAACATCTTAGTAAATGAGTGAGTGAGTGACTGCCACATTTGCATATTAATACCCCTCACAATAATTGCATAAAAGCAATCTGTCATTCACAACTCAATGTAAAGCGCCTTYGATTATATCCATATAGAAAGGGCGCCATATAAATCATAAATCATAAACTCGTTTCTATGCTTCGTGTATCCACGACTTAAAAAGTATAAAAAATTCACCACCAAACCACACCGCAACGCAAAACTGCACGCCAAATCAAACCACACCATAATGCAACGCAAAACAACACACCAAACTACACCACACCGAAACGYAAAGCAAACAGCACAATGAAATATGCTACACCACAACAAACACACCACACTGCAACGCATCTCCACACCACAACACACCACGACTCATCGCATCGCTTTTTTTTTTTTTTCAGCCCTTCACCGTCGGGATCTTAAGCTCGATTCCTGGACACCTGAGTAGAGTTTGTTAGGTCTCTCTCTTGGTCCGAGCAGGGTTCGTGCTACATTCTTGTTACAAAATTCAAGGACTTTTTAAGCACTTTTCAAGCACAAAAATTCGATTTTCAAGGATAAAGTTTTTCGTAATAGAACGTGGTTTAAGCATTGATTCAATGTTACAGTGAAGCTAATTCAGCCGGGGCCACGTCCACCAATAAAAAACGATCATGACACGCAACCAACCAGTAAACAAGAAACTCTTCAATCAATTTTAATCGTTATTTATTTAAAAGGAAAGTTAGAAATAGCATTAAGTTTGCATTAAATTCAAGGAGATTCCAGGACTTTTGGCGYTTTCCCCTATTTTCAAGGGCTTTTCAAACGCCCTTTAAAACGTGTTTTCAATTCAAGGACTTTTCAAGGATTTCAAGGAGTAGCACGAACTCTGTCCGACAGTATTTCTCCATGTTTACCGGTGATCATCCTCCTTCCATTAAACTTTATTAACTTTATTGATGAATGAAAGAATACAAAAAAGAAAAACTATATAACCTGCATATAGCTAAAGCTAGTCTAGGCAGGTTAAATTCACAGAATATACACGTAGATTTACAAAGATGTCTTTATATGTTAATAATAAATGAATGTTAATATCAGAGTACAAAGAGCTGAATAGGAAATGAAAAGTAGTTTACTGAGTAGAAAATGAAAAATAGCTCATTACAGATAGACTTACTTAAAAAGTTTGAAGATCTCAGTATCATAGCGATTAATATTAAGATCGTTTAATAAAACGGTTTTGATTTCCTTTTGGAAGTTTTTTT